TTAGGTGATAAATGAAGGTTACAGGTGTGACTGATTATTTATATCATCTCTTGTGAAAGTTTAGGTTCCTCCTGCCTCTTCCAGGAATCTCCCCTAGCCTAATTGTCTGTGCCGGGAAGTCTCCATTCATATGTTTAAGTGTAAACAAAGGGAGTGACTACCTGTGGCTGCCCACATATAGGCAGTGAGGAAACAGTTTATGGCCCATCTACATGAAAGGATATTAAAACATTTTAACTTAGTTGTTTGAGAGGCACACACACACACACACAGAGTGAGAGTAAAAGATGCCCACAGAGAGACAGAGAAGGACCCCTCAACTGCTGGTTCACTCCTAAAGTGTCTACAATCACAAGGGGGCTGTAGCCAGGAGCCAGGAACTCAACCCTGGTCTCCCATGTGGGCGGCAGAAACCCAGCTACTTTGGCCATCTTGCTGCCTCTCAGGAGCCACATAAGCAGGAAGATGAAATAATGAGCTAGAACCATGGGTCAAACCGGGTACTCCCAAGTGGTGTGCAAACATTCTAACACAGGCTACACACCTACCCCCACATGATGGATGTTTTATCATTGAGACTTTTTATAAATGGATAAGGTAAAAAATGCAGAGGTGACAGAATTTATTAAATGAAAAATTTGAAGCTCAATAATCATGTGCATGTTGGTTTACGTGACACAAAGATAAATTTCAACATAAACTGCTGTCTTTGAAATTCTGAGTTGTGTGCCTGGTGGGCATTTCAATGCATGGTCCTTCCAATTGCACAGGATAAAAATGATGTTGAATATGTTCTGAAATGAACTTGTAGCTAGTGGGTTAAGCTACTGCCTGTAACTCTGGCATCCCATGTTAGTGCTGATTCAAGTCCTGGCTGCCTTCTGATGCAGCTCCCTGCTAAGGTACCTGAAAATACAGAGGAGGGTGACACAAGTACTTGGGCTCCTGCCACTCATAAGGGAGATCCATATGGAGTTCCTGGCTTCTGGCTTCTGCCTGACCCAACTCTGGCTGTTGTGGAAAATTTGAGAGTGAATCAAAGCATGGAAGACTCTCTCTCTCTCTCTCTCTCTCTCTGTGTGTGTGTGTATGTGTGTATGTGTCTTCATCACTCTGCCTTTCGAATACATAAGTAATTCTTTAAAAAAAATCAACTGCTCAACGTTCTGCCAAGCCTTTTTATCTCCTTAGCGTCTCTTTAATGTCATCAACGCAAGTGTAAGCATGAAGGCTGGGCCCTGCTGATTCCTCCTGCCCCTCCCCAATTCTTTTACCTCAGACACCCTGTCTCCCCAGGTGCTTCTTTCTGCTTCTTTTTCACTTCTCTTCTTTCTATGATTCCTTCTTCCACTATTCATCCTCTCATCATTTTTTTTTAATTTACTTGACAGGTAGAGTTTACAGAGAGTGAGAGAGACAGAGAGAAAGGTCTTTCTTCCATTGGTTCACTCTCCAAATGGCTGCAACGGCCGGAGCTGCGCTGATCTGAAGCCAGGAGCCAGGAGTTTCTTCCTGGTCTCCCATGCAGGTGCAGGGGCCCAAGGACTTGGGCCATCCTCTACTGCTATCCCAGGCCACAGCAGAGAGCTGGACTGGAAGAAGGACAACCAGGACTAGAATCCAGCGCCCATATGGGATGTTGGCACTGCGGATGGAGGATTAACCTAGTGCGCCACCGCACCGGCCTCAATCCTCTCATCATTTTTAATTTAGGCTTTTGCAATGACTTACTAGGTGGTATTCCTACTTAAAATATTCTCTTCTTCAACTATAGCCTCAATCTAGTAAATTATAGTTGAAGTAAACTGAATAAGAATTTAACATTACATTAGTTGTTTTAAGTTAGTGCATGTTTTACTATAAACCTAATTAAGTAGCCTATCTTAAATTTATAGCAATATGACTAATAAAATTAATAGTTAACTTTTTTGAGTTTTTAGAGGTATATGAAGTTCTCTACTTCACAATAATTAGCCTTTTTAATTTTAATGGATTCTAGTTATTTTTCACATCTTTGAATAAATAATTCACTTACTTGTTGACACTTTAATTCTAATTTTTATTGTTATGTGGGAAAATATCTGTTCCTAAGCTATTGAGATTGTTGCACCACTTCTGGGAAGGCAAAGGAAGATGGCCCAAATGTTTGGTTTCTGGCCACTCATGTGGGAGACCTTGATGGAGTTCCTCTCTCCTGACTTTGGCTGATCCAGCTCCCTGGCGATGCACTTGGGAAAGCAGCAGAAGATGGTCCAAGTCCTTGGGCCCCTGCACCCATGTGGGAGACTTGGATGAAGCTCCTGGCTTCTGACTTCAGACCAGCCCAGCTCTGACTGCTGTGGCCATTTGGGGAGTGAATCAGCTGAAGGAAGATCTCTGTCTGTTGCTTTCTCTCTCTCTCTCTCTCTCTCTCTCTCTCTCTCCCTCTCTCTCCCTCTCTCTCTTTCTCTCTAATTCTGCCTTTAAAATAAACAAATAAATATTCAGAAAAAGATGAGAGCTCTATTCATCTCTGTCTCTGTCTTTGTATGTGGCTCTGCCTCCCAAATAAATTATAAAATAAAAACAATTCAGTTTTCAATCTCAATTCATTAATATGTTTAAATAAGGATAATGAATTTAAAATGTTTAATATTTCCATAAACAGTAGCATTTACCTATTACACATACACATATATTTCATATCTATAGTCATGTTGAAAACATTTTCCACCATTTTACACATACTGTCTATAATGAACACATATTTTTATCCTGAGGATTGTCATGAGCTCTCAAAGTTTTACATTCAGTTTCAATGACGGTAAGCAGCTTTTTCAGGTTTTTGAGGTAGTGTTTGGATAGTTTAGAAATTATAAGGAAAACAAGTATTCAAAATAGTCTTAACTAACAACCAAAGACCTTAAAAACTAAGAAGATAGGTGTCGTTCCTTTTTCAGGCTCTGAGCAAGGCAGGGAGGCCGTTTATGTGTTTAATGATGCAGAGTGAGGAGTGACAGATTCATTGCTGTTGAGACAAGCTGATTTCGCAAAGGCAGTCATGACTGTCAATCCATGTGCTGGGGAAAGGTCCTGGCTTCCGAGGACAGCCCTCGCAGTGTCAGCTGTGGTGTCGCTCTTCCTAGGAGAAGACTGAGTGCGAGAAGGCTTATTTAGTTACGACGGTTACTTCATCTAGCTAGGTTTTTCTCCAGAAGGAAAAGTAATATAAAAATAATAGTTAGAAATCATAAGAACTTGGTATTTGTGAGGTCTAAGCATTTCAAAAGGAAGATCATCTCTTTTTTTTTTTTTTTTTTTTTTTTTTTTGCAAGGTGCAGCACCACTTACATATTCCCGTCTCTCCTTGGGCTCAAGCACTCAGTGCCAGGTTACCATGTGTGCACACAGAGCAGTGCACAGCCACATGGCCAACCTACACTTTTCTGATGGCTCACCTTCATTGTTTGATTTTACTTCTATGGGGATGGCAGAGTCTCAGAGATATACGTACTGGATTGAAAACAGATGTTCATCAGATAACTTTTTTTAAAAAAAGATTTATTTATTTGAAAGACTTGCAAAGATTGAGGGAGAGATGAAAGATAGAGATATATACATAGAGAGAGAGCTCTTCCATCCTCTGGTTCACTCTCCAGATGGCCACAGTGACCAGTGCTGCACCAGGTTGAAGCCAGAAGCCAGGAGTTTCATCAGAATCTCTTACGTGGGTGTCACGGGCCCACTCCTATGATAGTTTCATGCTATATTGTAGTAGGTTTATCTTATCCACTTCATTGTTAGTTCTTACTTTATAACTTTGCTTTTTAAACTCTGAAACAATTATTTATTTATTTTCATCTCCTTTCAACAGAGATGGGGGGATAGAGAGAGAGAGAGAGACATCTTTTGTCCACTGGCTCCCTCCTTAAATGCCTGCAATAGCTTGGCCAAAGTCAGAAGCCAGGAATTCAGTGCAGATCTCTTCCAGGGGTAGAAGCAGCCCAAGTATTTTCACCATCATCTGCTGCCTCTCAATGTGTGCAACAGCTGGAAGATGGAATTTGAAGGGGAGCTGGGAGCACTCCCATCAGGTCTTGAGTGTCCCAAGAAGCATTCTGATTGCTGCATCAAACCCCTGACCTGATAGTTCTTTTTCATATCATGTGAAACACACACCTTTCTATTAGTATTTAAATTTCATCTCTAGTTCCCTTAAAAGATATTATTTTCAAACTCAATTTCTGAAGCTAGTTTTACTTTCCCTTCCATTATTTAATAGTGCTGAAGTTACTGTTTAATGCTATGTATCATATAGGTGTTTATTATCTTTTTCCCAAAAATGAATGAAATACTATAGATTTGCTTGATCGTTTCTGCTATACAAGCTTTAAATATTTATTCATTATCTTTTTTATTTAGCATTTGTTCCTTTAAGGTTAACCTTAAACTGTCATGTGGAGAAGATTCACTGTTTGGGTATAAACAAATCTAGTTTAAGTGAACAGTTTCTATTATCTATAATATCCAACTTTACAGAATTCTCATATTTCGGAGAGCTATAGAAACAGCATGGATTATTTTTCATTGAAGTCTTACTGAGAGTTCAGTTCTCTATTTTGGAAACCTCTGGGGAAAGTGATAATATTTACTTTGTTTTAATGTTTAACATTAAAGCAAGGTGGCTGAAGAGATAGGCATTTCATACTTTCCTCAAGATGATAAATTGCTAACAAACTTGGATCCCATTTGAATCAGTGCTGTAAAAAAGAAAATATTTCACGTAGCTTTGCTAGATTTTGGAATGCTTTCATTCTTTAAATAACATTGCTGTTGCCAGTGGAAGCTTTGCTTCAGGATAATTACCTACTTCTCTGAAATGGACATAATCATGTAGAAATTGTATAACATTTTTATTGGCCTAAAAGTTTTCATTTTAAAAATGCAATGCCTTTTATAGCATATAATTCCTAACTTCAAGGTCTGTTTGATATTTTTAATCATGGAATTGATTTTCAAAGCAACCCAGGGTAGACAAGCTGGCGATGACTTTGTGGAATCATCCATTCTTGATGCTGTACAGAGAGTTGACAGTGCAATTAACTCAACACGAAGACATTTGTTTGCACAGTAAGAATTTATCTTATTTTGATTGAGAAATTGCTTTCATTTCTGTTCTACTTAGTTTTTATAATCAGTATAAATCAGAACAGGTTCAGTGCATATGATTGGCAAAGAATGTCCTCTTATTTGTTGTTATTTATTTCAGAGGCAGAGAAACACAAAGAAAGAGAGAGAGAGCTCCAACTTTCCAATTCACTTGCTCAAGGCTCACAACTGTCAGTGCTGGGGCCAGTCTGAAGCCAGCAGCCAGGGAACTTAACCTAATTCTCCCACTTTGGTAGCAGGGATTCAACCACTTGAGCAATCATCTGCTGCATCTCAGAGTGCACATTAGCAGGAAGCTGGAATTGGGAGAAGAGCTGGGACTGAACCCAGGTACTCTGGGATGTAGGCTTCCCAACCAATGTCTTAAAGGCCAAACCTATCCCAGGAGTGCACTCCATAGTCCTTGTATGAATGCCAACCTCTAGCTATAATTTTCTGTTCAGCCTCAAAGAGAAATAAATTTATTCCTCATAGAACCTAGTCTATAACACTGATCCACTTTATACAGTTTGTCAGAAGGCATCAGGCAATGGGCTGTTTTTACATTAGGATCCAAACAGTATAAGACCTGCAACTTATGCTAAGTCTGTAAATTGAAAATCATGGTCAGGTTGAACACATTTGGTCCTAAACTAGTAGCCTACAGGTTAAAATATTTAAAATATGGCGTTTCACTTTATTTTAATTAGAATTGGGATGTCTTTAGGTTAGTGAAATCTTATAGTCTCATAAGCTATTTTGTGATTATAAAATTAGTATGTATACTTTTTAAAAGATGATTATTTTCATGGCCAAGTAGAATGTAAATCCTGTATTTTAGTTGTTGATTGAAAGAAGACACTTTAAAATGCTGTCATCATGTATTGCTTAGCTTTTTGCACATCTACAAACAATATTATTTGGTGGTCATGAACTTGGATTCTAGAGCCATATAGTCTATTTATACACTCACTGTGATTCCTTTTCTTGTCACTTTCTGCTTCTGTGACATTGGCCAAGTGATCCAACAGCTTGCCTGTAAAACTGGGATAACAACAAGGCCTACTTTATGAATGTGTTTACTAGGAAGACAGAACAAGATATTCTAGACAAAGTGACTTCAACAGTGTCTGTCTCATAGAGAGGGCTTCATTGAAGTGAGCTGTTAGCATCATTATTATTAATCTATAAAGTTAAGTTATTATGATTCAACTGAGATGTGCCTCAGTTGACCAAGTTCTCTAAAATTTTTCAGGGCTAGTGCTGTGGCATAGTGGGTAAAGCCATCGCCTGTAGTGCCAGTATCCCATATGGGTGCTGATTGCTCCATTTCCAATCCAGTTCCCAGCTAATGCACCTGGGAAAGCAGTGGAAGATGGCTTGTGTCCTTAGGCCCCTGTACCCCCTATATGAAAGACTCAGAAGAAGCTCCTGGCTCCTGACTTCAGAAATGGCTGCTGTTGCAGCCATTTGGGGAAGTGAACCAGTGGATCCAAGATTTCTCTCTCTCTCTCTCACTCTGACTTTCAAATAAATAAATAAAATCTTTATAAAAAAGCTTGATAATCTAAATAATATTATTTTCTTTTTAATTTATTTAGCTCAGTTCTACAATTGTGTATAACCCACTACTGTGTGCTGCTTAGTGGACTTAGTACTTGTGATACAAGGATGAACAAGGCATCGTCTTATCCCTAACCCACATGTGAATTTAATGGATTCTGCAGCTTTGCCTTTAAAGAGTCATATCTGTTGTCATTTGCAGAAAACCTCACACCCCCAGTGACCTGCTGGCTCTGTTTCGCTACCCTCGTGACCCATTTACTGTGGAGACGGCGAGAGCGGGGGAAATTTTTGAGCAGACCCTGCAGCTGATTCAGGAACGTGTGAAGCAGGGGCTCACTGTTGATCTGGAAGGCAGAGGTTAGCCCAAGCCCTTTTGAGCTTACTGTCCATAACACAGCGGAACACCATTGCATAGTGCCTCCTGAACTTTTCCTCTCCAGAACTTCTTGTCATTTAGAAATTAATGTACTTCCTATTCTTACCAAAAAATGCAGATGTTTCTCATGGGAACAAATTCAAATGTAAGGATCATAAATACATATTCAAAGTTGTTTCAACTTTTTCAGTTATTGGGTCACTGAGCAAATCTAGAGGGTCTATTTTATGAGGATTCCTCTAATCTAAAAGATATTACTACTTTCTACAGAGAAAGACTTCATCCCTGTGGAAATGTATCTCCATTTATCATTGTAATCACTAGATCATTCAGTGAATGTACTTGAAATTCTCTCTGCAACTTACAACATTTATATTCCTCCTCACTCTTAGTTGTGTTACTATGTTCAAGTTCTCATGCATTTCTTTCCAAAATCAAACATCTGCTTGGTGAATGTTAGAGGTGATATAGAAAATTTTCAGGTTTTCTCAGTCTTTCTCTTTAAAATGTAAAGAATGAATATAATCCTTTGTTGTACACTGTCTGCACTGTACGTGCAACAGCGATTTCTATAGGTTTGTCCTTTCTCTATTTTTTTGCAGGAAATAAACTGAGATATGGGATAGGAGGTCTATCTGCATGCTTGATGCAACCCTTATCTGTTCTGTTCAATTATTCCAATATTACAATTATTTGACTATCCCTAGTTGTCCATTATGTCTTGAGTATTCAAAGCTTTTTCAACTGAAATATACAGGGGGTATCAATATCACCACTTGAATTAAACTTTTGGATATTTAACTGTGAATCCTGCTAGGTGTGAGTTAGCCATGTGCCAGTCTTCCAAAAGGCCCATTTCTATTAGTTCCTTCACTTCTAGGTAATGGTTAGGTTAATGGATCTCCCTGGCCATCTTTGGATTCTTATTCATACATCTGTATGAGAAAAAATAATTTTCAGGAGAAATTAATCTTGTATCGTAACTAGAAAATGCAAAACTGTAAATATGTAGAGATTTAGCTTTGCTGAAGTATGCATCCACTGTTTACTACCAAACTTAATATATCGTCTTACCTAAAGGATTCAAGAACTTTATCATTTTTTCTCAAGAAAAAGACCACTGTACTATTTTTTCTCTCTTTATTTGTAAGAGTAAAGATCTTTCCCCTCTGTCTTACTTGTAAAGTTAAAGATCCTTTTTTTTTCTCCTGGAATACAGAAAGGTCCTTGACTCTACCCAAGATCAAGATACCCAAGGTCCAGCCAGTGACAGGCTAACACGGGTACAGGACAAATGGTCTTGATGTCATTGGCCAGTTTCTGATGATCAGTTCAGGATAACATCTCCTAGTAAGCATTGCTCAGTGAATAGTATTTATAGTATGGGGAGAAAATGCTGAAATGTTGAGTCCTGTTAAAAGATGTAGCTCTGAGGCACTTCCTGCATTGTGGTGCTTGTAATAAAGTGGAGAGTACTGCTCAGTCCCTCCTTGTCCAGTAGCATGTGGTTTAATATTCACATGGTCTGCACTGACGCATCTTTGACCTTGTCCTCTGGGATCACAAAATCTTAAAGAATTCTGAAATACAAATAACATATAAACACAAAATCAACATGGCAATCTGGTAGGATTTTTAAAATCCCTATCAATATTATATATTATACTTCTAGTTTGATGGGACTTGGCACCTGTTTCCAATTCCATCTTGTTAATTCCAGCAATTAGCTGCTGTTTCTAAGGTTACACATTATTAATGCAATCCCCCTACATTTTGGAAACATCTTTTACCAGTATATATGAGAGTACTTCAAAAAGTTTCTTGAAGAATGGAATTAAGTGATACATTAATTTTGGGCAAAATTTTGAAACCCACACAATTTTTTTCATCAAACACATTTTCTATGACTCCTTTGAAAATACTCCTAGTTTAACAATTTCCCCCTCCTTTGTGTTAGAATATGTCATTGTGAATTAATGAAATGCTATTGAGAGAGTAATTGGGCATAATACCCAAAGGTTCTTGTCTAATGCATATGCCAATGAAATCATGTGGACAGTGGTTTGAACTGTAAGCAGAAGGAATTCATTTGAGTTGCACTAGCCAAGAGCAAGGTGGTCATCAGTGTCAAAATACCGGGCTCTCTAAGAAACAACAACTGAGTTTTATGTTTACTTTTAGAGATGTCCTACAGGTTCATTATGATGCTGGGAAGTCCTGGGAATGTAATGAACATGCAGAAAGGGACAGGCAGGCATGTCCATTAAGTTATTATGGATGTTACCTGAATTCTGTGTTCCCTTAGGGGTGGAGGTTTAGCATTATAATGAAGAGTGTTTTGGCTTCCTATATCAGAAGGCCTAAGTGCAAAAGCTTCTCAAACCAGCCACATAGATGAAGACTTGGAGTTTCTTCATTAGGGGGCGTAGGTAGCTACTGAATTCTGTCTCTGTCCAATCAGTTCCTGGTCATCATCTGCAGGAAACCCTGGTTTTTCACAGTTCCGGCAAGGTTAGGTTATTTTCTTGGCGGAGGGTGAAGGGTGTTGTAGGTACTAAAGGCCTCTGCACACTAGGGTGACAGCTCCTGGAACAGCCTCCTCACTGCTGTCACGCTCTGCATTTCAGAATTCCACTACAACGACCTGGTGTCTTCGCGATACCTTAGCCTCATCGCCAATCTATCGGGATGCACGGCCCACAGGCATCAGCCCAACTGCTCTGACATGTGCTTCCACCTAAAGTACCGCAAGGCTGACGGCACTTGCAACAACCTGCGGCAGCCCGCGTGGGGAGCGGCGCACACGGCCTTCGTGCGCCTGCTGCAACCTGCATATGAGAACGGCCTGGGTTTGCCACGTGGTGCCGGGCGTCTTCCTGGCTCTGGCCGCCCTCCGCTCCCGCTGCCCAGGCAGGTTTCTACCGAGCTGGCTGGTGCAGCGACGGTCAGACCCGACGGCAGCTACACACACATGCTCATGCAGTGGGGCCAGTTTCTAGACCACGACTTGGACCACACGGTGCCTGCGCTGAGCACCGCGCGCTTCTCCGATGGGCAGCCCTGTAGCTCTGTCTGCACCGACGACCCTCCGTGCTTCCCCATCGCCTTCCCGCACGATGACCCCCGGGCCGGCAGCGCAGCCTGCATGTTCTTTGCACGCTCCAGCCCCGTGTGCGGCAGCGGCATGACCTCCCTGATGATGAACTCGGTGTATGCCCGGGAGCAGATCAACCAGCTCACAGCCTACATCGACGCCTCCAACGTCTACGGGAGCTCAGAGAGGGAATCCCAGCTGCTCAGGGACCCCTCCACACCCGAGGGCCTGCTGAGGACCGGCGTGCGGTGGTCTGCCTCCGGGAAGCATCTGCTCCCCTTTGCCACGGGACCCCCTACGGAGTGCACAGTTGGTGATCAGGACAGCGCCAGTCCCTGCTTCCTGGCCGGTGACCACCGCGCCAACGAGCAGCTGGCTCTCACGGCCATGCACACCCTGTGGGTCCGCGAACACAACCGGGTGGCTACCGAGCTGTCCGCGCTCAACCCGCACTGGGATGGGGACACGGTTTACCAGGAGGCCCGGAAGGTGGTGGGCGCCGAGCTGCAGCACATCACCTACCAGCAGTGGCTGCCCAAGATCCTGGGGGAGCCCGGCATGGTGCTGCTGGGGGAGTACCGGGGTTATGACCCCAACGTGAACGCGGGAATCTTCAACGCCTTTGCCACCGCAGCTTTTAGATTTGGCCACACGTTGGTCAACCCCATTCTGTATCGGCTGAACGACACGTTTGGTGAGATTCCCCAAGGCCACCTGCCACTGCACAAGGCTTTCTTCGCCCCGTCTAGAATCCTGGATGAGGGCGGGATAGACCCCCTGCTCCGGGGCCTGTTTGGGGTGGCCGCAAAGGCGCGGGAGCCTTCTCGGCTGCTCAGCCTGGAACTCACCGAGAGGCTCTTCGCCGCCGCGCACGCCGTGGCCCTGGATCTGGCCGCCACCAATGTGCAAAGGGGCCGAGACCACGGCATCCCACCCTACGGGGACTTCAGAGTCTTCTGCAACTTGACCTCCGTGGAGAGCTTTGAGGATCTGCAACACGAAATCAAAAATCCTGAGATTCGACGGAAACTGGAAAAGTAAGTATGCAAATGATGCCTGCCTTTAAACCGTGTGTGGGAGAAGAGAAAATGTGGAGGGATTTTGCGTGGATGGAATCCGCTTTTCTACGACGTCACAGACCATAGAGGCTGTGAGGGTCTGGAGAGCTTGCTACAAGAGAAAGGGTTCCTCCTTGTAAATTCAGGTACTGCTGCCTCCTGTTAGCTTACCTGTCCCCCCCCCCCCCCCCTTCCGTAGTCGTCCATGCAAGGCTCTTGTGCTGAAAGGCAGCCACGTGGACTGATGGCAAAATCCTAAAACCAGCTGGCCCATTGCATAGGCCTCCTTAGGCAGAACAAAGTAGTGAAAATGAAAAGAGAAAAAGAACATACAGTACTAAGTTTGTTGTTGGGATATAAATTGGAGTCTCTCCATTGCATCCTTTCTGAAAAGATCAGTATTATTTTTCCCATATGCGAGATTAAACATTTTTTTGATGTTACAAGTGTAAAACATTTCCAGAAAACAGTTTTAAGGGTTCCTTGTGCTCACCAGTCTTTATCTCTTAAAATATCAATCAGTAAATATTTGATCAGTAAGTTTTTTTCTGAGTAGGTTAAATATAGAAGACCAGCGTATTGACTAGCAGATTGAGAGAAGTAACTTGAAATCTGAGAACTTTAAATTTATTTGTAAGTGATGGAGCAATTGTTAGTGTTAGCCTCCTTTTATTTTCCAAAGGAAAGACATAAATACTATTATGCTATTAGAATTTGTTCATATCATATCTATGTGGAATATAAAACTGTGAAATGGGGACTGGGTGTTGTGGCACAGTGGGTTAAGCTGATGCTTGCATCGTGGGAATCCCAAATCAGAGTGCTGTCTGTGTCTTGGCTGCTCTGCTGCTGGTCTACCTTCCTACTAATGTGCCTGGGAAGGCAACAGAAGATGCTCTGAGTGCTTGGGCCTCTTCCACATGGTGGGAGATCCCGATGGAGTTCTTGTTTCCTGGCTGCAGCTTGGCCCAGCCTTGGCAGATGTGGCCATTTGAGGAGTAAACCAATGGATGGATTATCCTTTATCTATCAATCAATCAATATATCTATCTATACCTCTGTCTCTCCCTATTACTCCACCTTTCAAATAGATGAATAAATAAATATTTTAAAACAACTGTGACAGTGTATAACGTAGTATTTAAAACATATCAATATCATGCAGATTGAAATTGAAAGCTTCTATTAAAAAGGACATGAATTTTGGATTCATATAGTTTGGGTTCAAATCTCTATTCCACCTCCTATTATTATGAAGAGTTTGTGAGAGATTTTCAATCTCAGAATAACACAAAAAGAGAGAGCAGTGCATTTCAGATTTGTTTAAGGATTAAATTATATAAAATATGTTAAGTATTTTAACATATTAAGGAACTTTTAAGGAACCTAGCCCAGGTCCTGGTGCATCAAAGGTCACCAGTCAATGTCAGCTGTAGATATTTTATTCTGACATTATCATGTCAGTCTCCAGGGCCATTCCTGTGTGGCACATCTGCTAAATGGAGCCCCTGTGCCAATGCATGGGTACCTGTGATACAGGAAGAAGCAGTTCAGCAGCCGAGAGCCTGGCAGCATGCGGGGCAGGTGAAAAACTTCCACGATCAGTGTGAAAAGTTCTTGACAGAGGTGGGAATGAAATGCTACCAGGGTGCAGAGCAGAGAAATGGGAGGCGCTTGGGAGGCTAATAGCAAGCAGCCGAACAAAAGATGTCATTTGATCTGTCTTGTCATTTTCTCAGAGCAAACGGCAAAATGACATGGGATAGTGAGCTATATGGGGGAACAGGGGTGGAAACAAGAAGGTGTGGGCTTGATAACATGAAGGAGGAAATAAACAGAGAAGAGGGAATTATCTTAAGGGCCTTGTGGGCTGCACAAAGGAATTTGATCTTCCCAGAAGTGCAACTCTAAAGCAGGAGAGCTACCGAGGGGAGACTTTTCCATGAAAGCGGACCCAGCAGGAGTTTGGAAGATGCACTTGAGGGGAAGGGGGAGAAGCTGCAAGAAGTCCCAAGGTCACTACAGAAATGCAGCTGCAGTGTGGGGATGGCTTAGGAGGGTTTGTGGCAGTGATGCAATTCCACTGGGGCTTTAAATGTTTCCTGTGGGCCGATTGACTAAGCTGAGTAAATCTGGAGGGGGGAGCAAATTACACAATCTCATTGAGTTCCCCTTCACAGCCGGCACTGCAAATTATTGAGTGCTGGGAATGTTTGCACTTAAAAATGTCCCGTCCCAAAGTCTTCGTAAATCCTGAGGTTCTAATGTGAGATGGAGAAGCCTCTACTGACAACTGCTGTCTGTCCCTGCCTCTTTCCTACCTGAAACACCCCCCACCCCATCACAGTCCCACCACTGGGGAAGTGGAGCTGAGCTTCCAGACAGACATCCTGTGAGCATTCTCACAGCCACCTGAAGCACTAGGGATCGCAGCACCCAAGCAGGGAGTCATTATCCTTGCTTTTTCTTAGGCTGTCCTGAATGCCTGCTTTTTCCCTTTGATTCACAGCAGATTTGTGAAGTATCAACTACAGGTCCATTCTCCTATGAGCACAAAATAAATACACTGGAATATTTTTTCAGTGTTGACCTTGAAATCTGTATATTGCTGTTTCCCAGAAGCTGATTCTGCTGATGAAGATGGTAGTGCTTTAAATATCCTAATTTACATAGTGTGAGTGTGCTCTACAAAGTTCATGGAAAAAGGGAATAAAAAGCAAAGCTTATTTTGGTGCAATGCATTTTGAAATCCATGCAGTTTTTCTGTAATACACATTTCTTATGAATTTGTGAACACCCCTTTTATTTGTTAACTCTGTCATAATTACATCTTTGCATTTTTGTATTAATTTACAAGTGTGGCTTCATGAGTTTATTTTTAAGTCACTCCAGTCAGTTCTGGAAACAGGCAGGAACCAACAAAATAAAGACTGACCTGTAGTAATAGAAACTTCATATCCTACATAATCATGACAAACTGAGTAATAATTGGCTAAATTAGAGAATCATAAAACTAACTCATATCTGCATTTTATATATTTTGACTTCACATAGTTGAGAGTACATTGTTATACAACATCTGTGGAAGACAGAAGTATGTTTTCTTATGACTTTGGACATGAATCTGTGAACCAGAGTTCTGAGTTACCAATTCTGGCATGAGCTATGCCCACACTGAATCTTTCATGAGTACAAGTTTGTCCTGATAAGGGAATAAAAATTTGCCATGTAAGCAGTGATATGAAGACAGATTCCTTCCATATGTCTTTATAGTTGCCCAGTAGTTTGTAGTTATGCAATGTGCAACTAACTAGCAGCAATTTTTTCCTTTCCTTTTTTTTTTTTTTAAAAAAAAAGATTTATTTATTTATTTGAAAGGAAGAGTTACAGAGAGAGAAGTGGAGTAGAGATCTTCCATCCGCTAGTTCATTTCCCAAATGGCCACAATGACTCTGGCTGGGCCAGGTCTAAACCATGAGCCAGGAGCTTCCTCCAGGTCTCCCACATGGTTGCAGGGGCCCAAGCACTTGGGCCATCTTTTGCTGCTTTCCCAGGCTCATTAGCAGAGAGCTGGATCAGAAGTAGAGCAGCTACTGGTGCTCATGTGGGAGTCACAGTTGACTACTAACCCGTTGCACCATAACCCTTGACCCCAAATATGGATCTTTGTATCATCAGATCTATAAAATCAATAACCTTCCTGCACCTCAGTTCGTTTTGAAAGCTTCTGTCAATTAACCATCCAATGGTTATCCAATGGTAAAATATGATTCTTTCTTGTCATTTTCTGTTAGTTCTGTCACTTGGGCTCTTTCAGGTAGCTTTGAAAAGGACAGAATGACCTCTGAAATTCTAGGTGAAGACTTTCCTACTGAACTCTGCATGAATTGTGTGAGGTAGCTCCTGGCCCTTCACAGCAAGGCCCACAGGGATGGAATGTGAGATGTGAAATGTGTTGCAGACATCTCATCTCCTTTTACACTCAGGATATGGTTTACAGTCTCCTTTCTCTCCCCGCCCCTTCCCTGCCCCTTGCTAGAGCCATGGGCCCCCCGAGGGGCTCACCAGCCACAGGGGATGTCTCTGAGAAGGTGTCTGTGTTTGCTGTTGTAATGCCACACCTAAGACTGGGTAATTTCTAAAGAACAGAGATTTACTTCACACAGTTCCAGAGGCTGAGAGTCTAAGACTGAGGCACTAACCAGCCTAGGGTCTTTGCCTGTGTGGCAGGGCCTTGTATGCTGCCTCCTCACAGAAGGGACTGTGTGGCGCCTCCTTCATAATGTGGTCCCATTAATCACCCCCTAAAAACCTCACTTCTGAATGCGGTCACGGTGGGGATTGGGTTTCAACCCTAAGAGATTTGGAGCGAATGCTCATCCCCTAATGGGAGACTGCCATCTGGGACCCTACTAATGGAGGTCATGCAGTACGTGAGGAATGGGCCTGTGGACCAAAGGGGAAGTTGGAAGCTGTGAGTCCTGCTGTTCCTGGAAGTCTCATCCTAGAATGAGTTTCAGATTCTCTCTACCCCGAGAGTGTGAAGACCTCCCAGGGAAGCTGTCACTTTTGTCCTGAGTGGAATGGATGTGGAGCTCCGAAGTGTGATGGAAGTGGCCGTGGAGAAGGTCTGCCAGAGGCAGGGGCCCCAGGGCTTCTTGCTTCCCTCTCCTGGGCGCCCATATCTGCAGCATCTGCAGGAGGATTTGTGAAATGTGCTGTAGACTTGTAGTCTCCTTCTAGAACTCAGTGATTTTATTTTATTTTTTTTTGGTCAAAAGTGATATTTTTTAGAGAGCTTGTTTTAGTCAGATATTGTATGGATATCAATTATTGTCTTTTCGTAGCATTATTCTTGCTTTGAAGAATCCTACAAATTAGTTTTTCTTCTTTCTCAAACATATAATGAGCAGGAGGTAAAGAGAAATGATCTGTGAAGTCATGAGCATAAATGCACAAATAGAACCCATGTTTAAAGG